TGCATCTCCTCGTCATCTGGCATCGTGCGGTCTCGAAACTCGGGGTCCAACATCATGGCAGCAACATGAGCAGGCGACTTGAACATGGTGCGGCATCTGTCAAACACTTCAAGCAGCGCGTCCTGCTCGTCCTTCTCCAAAGCGGCACATGCAGACAAACAACGCGCGATCATCTCGTCGTACCGACGCAGAATCTTGCCAATCTGCCTCGTGTCGCTGTCCACCATCTGCAGCATGTCCATGATGGGATCCAACAACTTGCACAGCGCTCTCATATCCTCCCACCATTGAGGACAACCGACACATGCTGTGACCTCCGCGGCGTCGTCTCGAATCTTCTTCGTTGACCAAACAGTGTCCTTCCATCGATCATCAACGACCACCTGCATAAGATGCGATTGCAGCAGAAGAAGTCGTCGCATCATAATCACATGCGTACCGAAGCGAGTCTCGGCGAGAAGCAGCAGAGCCTTCGTCGTGAAAGCTTGCAAAACTTCGCGAGCGTGGCTATGACGCTTGAAAAACTTTGTGACCAAACACGCCTGAGCAATGCGGGTCGCCACCCAGTCAATGYTGCCGATGTCCTCAAGGATGAGGTCCATGACGTGTGCCACACAAGGAATCCAGAAGATGTGCTTGACACTCTCATCCTTCTGGAACACCTCCATCGCAGAAACGTTTGAACTGGCAGAGTCTGTGTCGAAAGCGGTAATGTTGGCGAGCTTGATGTCAAGGGACTTCAACCTTCGCAGCCAAGCCTGCGCCAGAGCAGTGGCATCCTTTTTTCCTCGCATAACATCTGTCGCGACGTGTGTGGCGCCCCGTGTAGTGCCGACGAGATAGTTGCACAACGTTTGGCCCCGAATGTTSGTCCAACCGTCTGTCATTATCGTGCAACCGTAGGTAGCTGCARTAGCGAGRACAKGTTYCACACACTTTTGGACTTCCACATCAAGCTCATCCAAAAGTGTGGTACGGATCATGTGATACGTTGGGGGTTTTGGGGTGGGGACTCCTGGAACCCCAGGCGGGATGATCAACGTCAACATGCGTTTGAAGCTCTCAAGCTTCACACAGTTGAACGGCATGCCGCTCTCGACAATGAATCGCATGATCTGCAGGTGCCATGCGTGCTCCAGCGGGTCGTTGTAATACGAGGTCACCGCCTGCTGCCTGTAAGTGCCCCTCACTCGTGCACCGACGCCCATACCTAGCGAATCCCACACCCCGCCCCCGGCCGCAGGTGATGCAGTGGGGCCTGGACTCGGAGCTGCAATGTTGCGCACATTCTGTAAAGGATCCAGTGTCCCAAAAACACCGTGCTGCGAGGTCGGGCCATTCACGGGCACAGGAGTGGGTGACGAATCCGAAACCTGGACGGGCTCGTCGAGCTGGACGTTTCCCGCACCCTCAGTGGCCCTTGCAGCGGCCTCGCCAACAGGTGCCGAAGTCAAGTCTGGTGTAGGCCGTCGTGTTTGCGAAGGAGGGGGAGGCAACCATGGATACGCAACGGATTGATGTCCTGTTGCGGGTGCTCCTGCCACGKCCGGACGTGTGTCTGTGCGTCGAACTCTTGGGACCTTGTCCCTGTTGCCAGTGAACAACGGGGCGAGGCCTGATGATGTGCCAGCGTCCTTCCCCCACCCACCGCCCTCGACGAAAGCACGAGTGCCTTGCTCGTCGAACGGCACAGGTTCCCCAACACCTGAAACTGGCATGGTGCCTTGCGCATCAGGCTGCGTTGCCACAGATGGTCTGCCATCAACGGATGCGGGAATCGTCTGACGAAGCGGACGAGGGGGGAGGGGAGCAAGTGGTGCACATGGAGATGGCGCCACTTGCGAGGCGGCAGCGGTCGACGGGGGCGGCGGAACGACGTCATCGGGAAAACGAAGAGGTGGCCATTGAAAAGAGGGATTACCTAGAGGGAGACTCTGCAAGGCCTGCACGGCAGAAGCCAAATGTGCAGGGCACTTGGACATATCCTTTGACCAAATCGCGTGCCACACCGCCGGAGTGGCTACTTGGCATCTATACTCCTCGCCACGAAAAAAGTGTTCCTTCGCCTCACGAGCACCCCCACATAGAGAACGACCGTATAACCTGCACAAACAACGGCGACCGTTCTTCCTCCCGATCGCAGTGGATCCATCTAAATAACGACCACGAGCAACGAAATGCCAAACAGGATCATCTCGTTTTCCATCCGCCTTTGGATCCACCTTAAAA